CAAGACTGAAACAATGGTCTGAGCTATTTACAAGACTTAAGGGAGGCAAAGCCCTTTTTACCAACTCCTCACCTAACCAGAAAATATGTTCAAAAAATGAGAATGCTTTGATACTCAATATCCAAAACTTAAATAATATTCCTACTAACAATATAATTATAGCCTTAGCTGCTAGTCTAGGAGAGGACCTAGTAGCTGCAAAGTTACATATATCAAAAGGAAAACAGGCATTTCTTGAAGTAGTTTTTATAAACAAAGAAAAAGTTTAGCTCTATGTGGCTAATGGAATCTCTCTCTTCAAGCAAACCCTTTTTGGATACATTCTAATCAACTCTAATCGCTTCTTTCTTACTGTTAAACTTCATAACATGCTTATAGGAAATACTAAAATAATTAGTCAGCAGGTCTTGGATGCATTTTGGGATATTGAACAAATTGCATCAATCAAACTTCTGCTTTTTGAAGATATCACAGTTTGTTCTGACCAATAGTTGGTTACTTTTGAAACTACAGAAGACTCTGATCTGCCTTTCAGAATACCTAGAAGCACCTACATTGGTAATCATAAGATAACAACTAAATAGAAAGAGGCACCAAAAATTTGCTTCTATAGTGAAAAGGAAAGCCATTTCAAAAGAGACTGTAAGGACCTTAGAACCTCAATCAAGCTTAAACAATGATTAAAGAAAACTAAGAAGCTTAGAGAAAGAAATAGAACACAAAACCTCTCAACTTCAGAACTAAGCTTTAGTTGTAACAACCTATATATTAATAACAACCTTCAAAATAAAGAACAGACAGAAGACCTATTGGACACAAAGTCTTTGACTTCAGAATGCATTTCAAATAATGAAGAAATGTTACTAGAAAATGAAGTTACAGAATCAACTATCAATGAAAAACCTGATATTACTGCTAACATAGCAGATGTTAAAGACATAGACAGCATGGAAGCAGAAGTAACCAAACCAAGAACCACCTTTGATAAAATCGATAACAACTCAGAAGAAACACCTTTTACTATGATTATATATAGAAAACAAAAAACAAAAAACAAAAGAAAAGATCAAGCAAGATCAAGCCATTCTTACAAGAATGATGAAGCTTCTCAAAGGGGTCACCCATTCTTTCTTTAATCTATTTCATGATTAAAATTACTATACTAAATATAAAAGGTTTAAACAATAAGCCTAAAGTACAAAAAACTCTTATTATACTAAAATCATATAATTTAGATATAATTTTATTACAAGAAACAAACTTAAAAGATGTCTCACTAAGGAACTTTCTAGCTAAGAAATGGGCTTCGACTCTTTTTGGTCCTTTAAAACAGCAATATTAGCTGGAAAAAAGAATATTAAGTTAACAAATATGAAAAAATCTTTAGATAGAAGAATAACTATAGCCAAAACAGAAATCAAGCAACAACATTTCCACCTTACAAATGTTTATACACCTTCAAAACAAGATGACAGAGTTCTTTTCTTTAAAAAATGGACATCAACTAAAGATGAAAGAAGCATCTGCATTATCGGTAGAGATTTTAATACAAATTTAAAACCTAAAAAAAATAGAATAAGTTAAGCAATAGCACAAAATGACAACTCTAAAATTCTTATGAAAAACCTAATAACAGACTATCTCGACACAGCTATAAGTACTAAAAAAGAACTATTTCTCACATTCTATCATACTACACAAGAAGGTCAAAGAATGACAACCAGACTAGATTATATCTTTATTGAAGAAAGCTATAGCTATCTATGTAAAAACACCTCTACATATTATGGAAACTCTGACTATTTACTGGTCGAATATGAGCTCTGCCTAAAGCCTAAGCTTAACAGCAATTCAATATGGAGATTTAATAGAAAATACTAGAACATTCCAGAACTCAAATCTGACATAATACAAGAGTTACAAAACATTCAAAACACAGCCAACTGGGATCTACACAAATGCTTAATCCAATCTATAATTAGGTCATATAAAAGCTGTCCTTCACCTGAAAAAAGAATACAAAAAATATACAGAAGGATATGTAGTTTAAACAACAAAATAGCAAAGAACCCTAATCTTGAAGAGCTTAAACTGATTATTAAAGGCCTTAATGTTGAGCTTCAGGAAAAACTAACTACAATGTCTAACAGATGGTGAGTAAGATCCAATGTAAAATAGATAGAAGAGGGAGAAAAGTCTACAAAATACTTCTACTCTTTATACAAAATTAAACACTCAACAAACTGCAGCTTCAAAATTAAAGACCCAAACAACTCAAATGAAGCTTCTTATTTGCAAACAATGAATTACATCAAAGAGACCTACCAGAAGCTATAGAAAAGTGAGGAAATAGATGAAGAAGCTGCTAAACATATTACAAACAATATAACAAAAGTTATATCACAACAAAATGAACTTCTTGATAAACCAATCACAAAAGATGAAATTAGCCAAATAATTGATAAACTTCTAAATAATAAGGCTCTAGGAACTGATGGCCTAACTTACAAATTCTACAAAGACACAAAAGAAATTATTCTTCTAAAACTTACCAACCTTTTCAATAAGATGCTAGAAACTGGTCAAATTCCAATTTCTTGGAGCAAAAGTCTTATTACACTGATTCCTAAAAAGTCAAAAGACCTTTCTAATATAAATAATTGGAGACTGATTTTATTGATAAACTCTAATGTTAAAAACTTTATGAAGCTTCTTGCTAACTGAATCAACTCTATTTGTGACAAAATTATCAGCCCAGCTCAGTAGGCCTTTATTGCTAATAGAGCTATTGCAGATGCTGCATTAGATGTACTAGTAACACTAAGAAACCAAAATGACCAATCAAAACAACACTGGATTTTACTATTAGATCAGCAAAAAGCTTTTAATAGAATTAGCCACCACTTTTTACAATTTACACTTAACAAAATGAACTTTGAACAAAGATTTATTAAGGTGATAAGTTTACTTTTTACTAGCCAAAGTGCACACATAGTAGATTTAGGCTTTATCTCAGAGCCTTTTAGAGTAAAAAGAGAAGTTAGACAAGGTGACCCTCTTTTATTACTACTTTATGTTCTAGCTATTAACCCTCTTATTAGTACTATTAATCAAAATATTAAAGAAATCTCAGTTAACAAGGCAAGATTTAAGATTGTAGCATATGCTGATGATATTTTCTTAGGAATTAGTTTCTCATTAGACTGGACAAAAACAATAGAAATTCTGCATAATTATGAAAAAGCCTTAAATGCTAAAATTAATAAGACCAAATCAATCTTAATACCAATCACATTCAACACTAAAAGAATTGAACTTTTGGATTAAATAGAGTTTAAAACACTCGATAATGATTAAAGCTTCATAACAATACTAGGATATAATATTAACATAAAAGAAAATCCAAAAAAATCCATCTAAGAAGGTCTTACAAAGAAAATTAAAAACAAAATCCAAGAACTTTCACAAAGAAATCTTTCTTTCAAAGGAAAAGTTCTAGCTACCAAAACCCTACTTATCTCTAAAATATGGTATCTGGCTTACTTTTTTTCACCAACAAGAAAGCAACTAAATGAAATTAACCAATTACTAACAAACTGGATAAAAAGAAACTCAAGAATGCTGCCCCAATATTCAGTATTCCAGCTTAGTTATGAGCAGAGTGGGCTAACTGCTCCTGTACTAAAGGACATGTTAGATGCCAGACTAATTTCAACATGGCTTAAACTCCTGTCAAGTAATACATTCTGGGCTATAGTAGAAAGAGATACTATAACTTCAGACCTCTATAACAAAAGAAATATCTCAGTTTTAGATGCATTAATGCAACTACCATTTAAAGCTAAAGGTTGGACTGAAAGATGAAGGCCTTACCTAAATGCATAAAAAAGATTTAATAGGAAAATAGAAGCCAGTAACACCTGGCCATGGCCTTTAAAAGATATAAAAATAGGAAATACATTAGGTAATCAATAAAGGTTAAAGCAATGCTAAAAACTCTTAATACATCATCAAGCCTCAAAGAAGACCAATTCGAATAGCTAAATATAAAAGGAATTCTTAATAAGAAAAAAGACATTATGTGGCATTTAGCCCACCGAGCACTGCTCCTAGGTTATCAACTTATACATATTACTCAAAACAACCTTAGAAACTGCTCTAATTGCCCACATACTACTCAATCACTTGAACACTTTGCATTAAAATATTCTCTTAGTAAAAAAATCTGGGAAATGGTTTATAAATTTCTTAAATTTGCAGCTGAACCTACACCCTCTACAATAGATAATATTCTTCGAGCCATCAATATAATTACAACTCATAAAAGAAAAGCAGTTATTTGGATTCATATAAATGCTCTATATGAAATCTGATGTTGATATACTCAAGCCAGATAAGATGATAAAACTATATTTTTAGAAGCAATCACCAACATAATAAAGTTTAAAATGAGACACGAAATTAATTTACTGCATACATTAGTGATTAGAAAACTGCCAGCTAGAAACAAAGAGATAGACTCCATTTTAAAATTTTTCAAACAACTCTTATAAAACATGTAAATTTATAAAAAAATCAAATAAATGTATACTTAGATGCATTTTTGAAAAAAAAAATAAAAATAAAAATTTTTATCATCATAGTTCTTTAAATTTATATAATCATTAATTACACTTACTTTATTTTATATTTTAACTCTATTTAACTATACATATTACACAATTATATTCACTTTGATTAGTCATTAATATTAGTTATATCATTCATATTTCAATTATGCATTAGTTAAATTATTTTAGCAAAATATCAAAATTTTTTTTTTTTTTTAAAAAACACATCTAAGTATACATTTTATTTGTAATTATTTAATTATTATAGGGTTACATATTTTGTATTACAAGTGTATGTAATAAATTGATTTCGTACTTTATTTTAAGTTTCACTATATTAATTATTGTTTCTATAGGTATAGTTTTACTGCCCCATCTAGCTTGAGTATATCAACACCATATTTCATATAAAGTATTCATGTAGATCCAAATGACTGCTTTCCTTTTATAAGCTAAAGATATGTTAGTGGCTTGAAGAATATTATTTATTGTAAAAGGAGTAGGTTCAGTTGTGTATTTGAGAAATTTGTAAGTTGTTTTCCATATTTTCTTGCTAAGAGGGCACTTTAAGGCAAAGTGTTCTAGTGATTAAGTAGTATGTGGGCATTTAGAGCAATCTTTCAGATTGCTTTAACTAATATATATAAGCTAATATTCTAAAGAGTGTGCATAGTAAACAAGATGCCACATTATGTTCTTTTTTTTGTTAAGAACTCCTTTTATGTTTAACTATTTGAATTGTTCTTTCTTGAGGTTTATTGAAGTGTTAAGACTTTTTAGAGCTTCTTTAATCTTGTATTGGTTGCCTGATATGTTTCCTATTTTAATTTCTTCTAATTGCCATGACCAGGTACTATTGGTTTCTATTTTTTCTTTAAATCTTTTTCATGCATTTAAATAGGGCTTCTATTTATTGGTCCAGCCTTTAGTTTTGAGTAGCATCTGTGTTAGTACATTTAAAACTAAAATGTTTCTTTTGTTATAGAGATCTGAGGTTATAGTGTCTCTCTTTGCAGTAGCCCAAAACATATTACTTGATAAAAGTTTGAGCCATGTTGAGAGTAGTCTAGCATCTAGCATATTCTTTAGAATAGGTACAGTAAGCCTATCTTGTTCATAGCTAAGCTAAAATACTGAATATTGAAGTAGCATTCTAGAGTTTCTTTTTATCTAATTCATTAGTAGTTGGTTAATTTCATTTAGCTGCTTTCTTGTTGGAGGAAGAAGGTATACCAGATATCATATTTTGGAAATAAGTAAGATTTTGGCTACTAAAATTCTTTTCATAAAAGAGAGATTTCTTTGTGAAAGTTCATTAATTTTATCTTTGATTTTCTTTATAAGGCTTTCAAGTAGACTTTTCTGGATTTCTTTTTATGTTAATGTTGTAGCCTAGTATTGTTATAGAGCTTTGATCATCATCAAGTATTTTAAATTCTGATTGATCTAAGAGTTCAACTTTTTTATCATTAGATGTTATAGATACTAAAATTAATTTGGTCTTGTTAATTTTAGCATTTGAGGCTTTTTTATATTTGTGTAAAATTTCTAAAGTTTTAGTCCAGTCTGATGAAGATCTGATTTTTAGAGAAATATTATCTGCATATGCTGCAATTTTAAATTTTGCATTGTTGACTGAGATTCCCTTAATATCTTTGTTAATTGTACTAATAAGTGGGTTTATAGCTAAGACATAGAGTAATGGTAAGAGCAGATCATCCTGTCTAACTCCTCTTTCTACTCTAAAAGGTTCTAAAATATAGCTTGAGTCAACTATGTGTACACTTTGGCTTATAAAAAGTGAGCTTATTACCTTAATGAATTTTTGTCCAAAGTTCATTTTGTTAAGTATGATCTGTAGAAAGCAATGGCTAACTCTATCAAAGACTTTTTGTTGATCCAATAGCAACAACCAGTATTGTTTTAATTGGTTGTTTTGCTTTTTTAGTGTTACTAATACATCTAATACTGTGTCTATGATTGATCTGTTAGCAATAAAGGCCTGCTGTGCTGAGCCAATAATTTTGTTACATATAGGATTGATTCAGTTTGCAAGAAGCTTTATAAAGATTTTGGCATCTGAGTTTACTAGTGATATAGGCCTTCAGTTGTTTATATTAGAAGGGTCATCTGATTTTTTAGGGATTAGTATAATGAAACTTTTACTCTATAAGACTGGAATTTGACCTGTTTCTAGTATTTGATTAAACAAGTTAATAAATGTTAAAAAAATTATTTTCTTTATATCTTTATAGAATTCATATATTAGGCCATCAGTTTCTGAAACCTTATTGTTTAAAAGATTGTCAATTATTTGACTAATTTCTTTTTTTGTTATTTGTTTTTCCAATAGTTCATTTTGCTGTAATGTAATCTTTGTCAAGTTTGTAATTTGTTTTACAAGTTCTTCATTAATTTCTTTACTCTTGTATAGTTTTTGATAGGATTTCTTGATGAAGTTCATGACTTGTGTTTGTAAGGCTTCTTTTGGGCTATTTGGGTCTTTAATTTTGAAGCTGCAGTTTGTTAAATGCTTGATTTTGTATAATGAGTAGAAGTATTTTGTTGATTTTTCTCTCTCTTCTATCCATTTTGCATTAGATTTTACTCATTATTTGTCTGACATTGTGGTTAGCTCTTTCTGAAGCTCTACATTCAGGCCTTCAATAACTAGCTTAAGCTCTTTCAGATCAGGGTTTTATTGTTATTTTTTTGTTTAAATTACAAATTCTTCTATGTATTTTTTGTATTCTTTTTTCTAATAAGAGTCAGCTTTTAAATGATCTTATTATAGATTGGATTAAGCACTTGTGCAGATCAAAATTGGCTGTGCTGTGAATGTTCTGTAGCTCTTGTATTATGCTAGACTTAAGTTCTAGAATACTCTAGCATTTTTTATTAAATCTTCATATTGGGTTGTTGTTGTGCTTAGATTTTAGGCTAAGCTCACATTCAACCAATAAATAGTCTAAGATATTATAACATATAAAGGTGTTTTTGCATAAGTGACTATAGCTGTCTTTGATGTGGATATAGTCTAGTCTGGTTGCCATTTTTTGGCCCCTATATGTAGATTAGTAAAATATAAAAAATGGTTCTTCTTTGAAGCAGATAGCTGTATTGATGTAGTCGGTTATAAGGTTTTCTATAAGCTTTTTGGAACTATCGTTTTGTGCTATTGCTTGGCTTATTCTGTTTGTTTTAGAGTTTAGGTTTGTGTTAAAATCTCCACCTATAATGCAGATGCTTTCTTCATTTTTAATAGGTGTTTATTTTTTGAAGAAAACTCTGTCCTCTTGTTTAGAAAGTGCATAGATGCTTGTAAAGTAAAAATGTTGTTGTCTAATTTCTGTTTTAGCTGTAGTTATTTATCTATCTAGAGATTCTTTCATATTTGTTAACTTGATATTTCTTTTTTCAGCCAGTATTGCTGTTTTGAAAGACCAAAAGGAGTCAAAACTCTATTGTTTAGCTAGAAAGTTTCTTAAGAAGATGTCTTTTAAATTGGTTTCTTGTAGTAAGATTATGTCTAAATTGTATAATTTTAGTAGAGTAAAAGTTTTTTGTACTTTAGACTTGTTGTTTAAGCCCTTTACATTTAATGTAGCAACTTTGATCATTAGTTAAATTGAGAGTTGATTGAAGCTACACTGGACTTTATTAGTTTTGTGTCAAACTCTTTGTAGATGGCTCAGTAGGGAGCCTTCTTTTTTCTTGTAGAAGTAACTTATTTTTGCTTGGTTCTTTCTTTTGACTTTAGTTTTTTGTTTTTTATAGGTAACTGTAGTGAAGGGTGTTTCTTCTGTATTGTTATTAATGTTAGCTGGGCTGACTATTGGCTTAGCTCTTTCTGTTTCTATTTTGTTTGATTCATTAATATCTGCTATAGTAGTAATAGAATCAGATTCTTTGATGTTTTCTGTTTCTGAAAATGTATCTTCTAGTATTATTGCTTTGTTATTAAAAATAGGATCTGAAGTTGTATCTTTTGCATTTGTTAAGCTCTCTGTTTGTTCCTCAACTTTAGAGATGTTGATGTAGGGGTTGTTATGGCTAAAGCTTGTTTCTGAAGATAAGATGTTTTGAGTTCTGATTTTTTCTTTATACTCTTTAGCTTTTTTTAATCACTGTCTAATCTCGATTGAAGCTTTTAGTTCTTTAAGTCTCTCTTGAAATGACACTCCTTTTTACTGTAAAAACAGATTTTAGTACTTTTTTCTATTTTGTTGTTATTTTGTGATTACCAATATGGGTACTTCAAGGTATTCTAGTTGGTACCTCAGGGTCCTCTGTAGTTTCAAATGCAACTAACTATTGGTCTAAACAAACTGTAGTATCCTCATAAAGTAGAGGCTTAATTGATGTAATTTGTCCTATATTTTGAAAAGACTTAAGAACTTGGTGGCTGATTATTTTGGTATCTCCTATAGTATATTTCTAAGTTTAACTATAAGAAAAGATCAATTTAGGTTGTTTGAATATACTTAAAAAGAGCTTGTTTAAAGGGGAAGATTCCATTAGTTGTGTAAAGCTAAACTGCTTTTTTGTAAAAAGTATTAGTTTTTTAATAATAGCTAATCAACTATAATACTAATTGGTTATCTAATTTGAACTAAGTTTTTTAAGTTACTAGTAAAATAAATATATAACTATTGCAGCAGACATATATATTTTAACAAGCAAATCTTTTTTGCCTTTAACTTAGCTATATGTATCACTAAGAGAAAACCAAACTTTGGGCTTTTAGCTTTATAACTTACTGAACTCAGTCTATAAATATTTTGGAGATCAAGTCCAATAAATTTTAAATTAAAAGCCTAAAGTCTGGTTTTTTCTTGACAGCACTTATATTAGCTATTTAGTTATATAAAAGTTTGGAGCTAACTATATAATCTTACTAAAATAAAATCAACTTGCAAGAACTAATTTCAAATAAAATCAAAATAAAATCTACCAAAAAAGAAAGTTTCATATAAACCTATAAATAATTTATAATACTCATTTATAATCTTAAAAAAGATCAAATGTATATATTAACAAAGTTCTTTGATATGTATACACATAGTACTAATTCTAAATTTTATAAAATCAGATTTGATAAGTTAATTATCTGTTCTAAAAGTTTGAATAAAAGTTTTGTTATATAATCTAGAAAAAACATAGCCTAATCTAAGAAAACTTATTATTATGTAAAAGTAATTTTTTTTTAAATAATTGAAGTTTTAAATTTTTTATTATCATAAATATATAAATTTAAGCTATCTTTTAAATTGTAATACAGTTAAATTTTCTTATATTAATTTAAAACCTTTGTTAATAAACTTTTTTAACTTTATTAAAAACTTTTAATTAATTAATGTTTAATAGTTATATAATATTAGAGTCTACTATTAAAATATTTTTTAGGTTTTCTAAAATTTTATATATTTCTAAAGTTAAAAAAATTTTTTGTTCTTAAGAGAAATATTATAATTAAAATTGTAATCTTGGGGTATGGTGACCTAGTAAAGTGGTCAAGTTGCCAACTTCCAAGTAACAGATTTAGAGTTCAAATTTCAGTAATAGCAAAAATTTGCAATTCTTTCTGTATTATTATTAGCAAAATTATAAATGCAAAATATTTCGAAAAATTTTGCATAGTGCAAAAATTTCAAAATAATATGAAAGAAATTTTGAAATTTTTGCAAAAT